TGTTTACATCAATCAGGTAGGTGCTGCTTCCATCCAGCTCCTAGAATACTGATTGATCCATACTGCAGGGGAGAGGGGGGATCCTTGAGGAAACGTGCGATATTTCTTCAGATTGGTGGGAATATCCCTGTGGGGATCATGATTTATTTTGTTCCTACTTAGATGATTTAGATTTTCAGGAGGGGTGTCACCACCAATAAGGGGCACATGCCTTGGAAAAAGGCGATGCACCAAATGCATGAAGGTGTGTGTGTGTGTGTGTGTGTGTGTGTGTGTGTGTGTGCAAAAATGCCAGGAAAACGCATATTTACGCACAGATTCTGACCTTAATGGGACTCTAAACCGATCTGTGTAGGATGTGGTTGTGGACATGGAACTGCACTGGCTTGGTTTTGTTATTGTTTTTTTTTTCTCATGAGGATAAAATGTCTCATGGATGCATCCTCCATTTTAATCCCACGCAACACACACACTGGGGGTGTTTTAGGGCTGTCAATCTCTTCTCTGTCTTCTTTAGTGTGGAGGTTACATGTCACTCTATTTTTGGATCTCACACACTCAGTAACAATACTGCAGCTCCCTCAAACAAACACACTCTTCTGGAACCCCCAGGGACCCTCCCATGTTGTCTGTATTGTTTAGAGAAAGGGGTGTGTGCAGAAAAAAAGAAATAACCTGTGTCTGCATTTACAGTGCTGCAAAATGTATTTGCCCCTCACATATGTGTAGAGTGTTTGTTTTGTTAGTGAATATTCAGATCAGCAGACATTTCAGATGACCTGAGTAACAAAACATGAAACTACCCAAACCAACATGACCCTGTTTGATAGAATAACTGATATATTAACAGCTTGATGTTGAGCTTGTTACAAAGGTGTCTGAATCCAGCTACAGCGGAGGGGTTTATAGCCTGTTTAAGGTCAAAGGTCATACTTTTTCTTTAAGATTATCTGCTAGAGGCAGAATTCACAATTTCTACAAAGCAGCCCAGACCACCACACTACCACCACCATGTTTGACTTTGTTTTATTAAGTGCAGTGTTACTTTTACTTCGTGTATAGGGACACACACCTTTTAGAAGTCCCCCTAAACTCTAGAGATTCATACATGATGCTATTTGAGGACACCCCCCCCCCCCCCCCCCACACACACACACACACACACTAATTGTCGCAATCCACCGTAAAGCAGTTTGGTTAAATAATGTTTTCACCGTTAATAACAGACAAATTATTCATTTTAAGACAGCATTTTGTTATCTTTGCTTTATCTTTGGTACTGAAATTCATTAGCTGCTTTGAGACATTTTAGAGTCAGAAGAAAATCATCAAGGTGCCGTAGGTCAGCTTAGGATGTCACCTTTACCATTCCTCCCACTCCAGCTTCATGAAGAAAAGTCCGAATCCCAAGATGTTCGTCTTAAATGTCCAGATGAGGGAATTCAAAAGGGTCGTTTTTATGGAAATTATTGTCAGTAATTTGTTCATGTCAGTATTTATATTGTTTATGGGTTTCTAGCTGCTCAAGTCTATTTCTATATTCTGTTTTCCATCATTAATCAATACTCAGCTGAGCAGAGTTGTTTACAGTCAGACTGTGTATTCATGAGTTAGTTAGCCTTCTCCAGGGATTAGATGGCTAACAGTGTCCTCCAGGCTGATGCCGCATGTGTGGATTATTCAGTGACTCTGTTTCTTTATGGAGCCTCTCCATGTGAACATGATACAGCTCCGTGTGAGTCGTGTTGTCATTTACCTCAGGAACTTCCCTGCTTCTGCACTCAGACGTGCAATGCAATGGTGTTCACGATCCCAACCGCTCCTCCCAAATAGGGACTCACACACACACAACACACACACACACACACACACACACACACACACACACACACACACACACACACACACACACACACACACACACACACACACACACACACACACACACACACACACACACACACACACACACACTTCCTGATCTAAAATGGAAGACGCCTAAGTGGAACACATGACACCGGAGGTCTGAGGGTATCAGTCCAGGATCCAGATGCCGTCACATCCGAGCGGTCATCTTTTGAGATACATTGATATGGGGAGGGGAGGGAGGGAGTTTGGGGGAGAGGGGGGATTAAATTATACATCGGTGCAGTTAATTGCCGAGTCAATTAGCATATGGTCTTGCTGTGAGCCCAGTCACATGATAATGAGGCATAATTGGGGTGGTGAGGGATTTTTGAAGAGGCTGGAGAAAAATACTTGCACAGTTGGTTTCATCATGATGGTACCCAGGAGGCTGGTGCAGCAAATAAATGTCTTCTTTTATTATTTGTTATCTTCCTTCTATCATAGGTGAGAATGCTCTATTTCTCTGAGACATCCACAACAATGTCCCTGAAAGGATCTTAGGGGTGCAAACACAGCATCTAAACAGCACATCTTTGCACAAGGAACCCTTATATGCTGGTAACCATGCACATTCACACCTACGATGAGTGTAGACTCACCAGTTAACCTAGCAAGCATGTTTTTGGAGGGTGGGAGGAAGTCAGAGTGCTCGTGGAAAACCTACGCAGGCAGAAGATAGAAACCCTTTCCAACACGATCTGGGACTTAAGCCAGGGACATTATCACTGTTAAAGATGCAAAACACCACACCGCCATGCAGCCTCTTCATTTAGAGTCCAGATTATCTCTCTACATCTACTTTAAGGTCATTAGAAGTGCAGTCCCTCAACCTGTTCTGATAGAAACCACTGGGATCGTTTACATAGAACAAGAGGAATTAACTTAAAAAAATCTGATTTTCCTGCATTAGCTGGGCCTTTTAGGTTTCAACCTTTCTAGAGAGGAATTAAAAAAGTCAGATCAACATTCCTCTATTGCTTTCCTCCTAATTGTTCCTTTGTAGCAACGTAAATCAGCCTTTCTCACTTCAGACTCTGGAGGAAGCTTAAGCTCAAACTGACAAGCTGCTTTCATTTATGATTGATAAATCAGCTATTAGGTAATCCCAGATGACCTGCTCCCCTCTCCGTGAAACCATTTGCATACTTATAAACTCTTTTATAAACCCTCCCCACCCCCCCACCCTCTCTGGCACTCCACTTCTGTCCAAACAGATGGATAAAAGGAAGGACGAAATCAAGTCATCAAAATGCAGTACTGCTTCCAATCGTTATTACAGTAATTAGACAGCATCTGGTTGTGTAACGTTTGATAATTTTAGAAGGCCGTAATTGTTCTGGACTGATGCTACATCACCCCACTCCCCCACCCCCCACCATACACGTCTGTCCAGCCTGGAGCACATCTGAATGATTGTGCTGCACATTCACCCTCTCATGCTCGGCCAGAGATCCATGCTGCACAGTCTTCACCTTCAGACTTGCATCCTAAACACGCTCACATGCATTTTACATGCCACTAAAGTGCTTGTTACACACAAACAAGCATGTAGAAAAGCACCATATGAGGAACAAGTGCTTTGTAACTTTATGAACCTCTGAAGCCAGCTGACTTGTTGGCATTGAGGA